AAACTAGACATTTATAAATAATCAATGAGTAAATAAAAGAAATCATATGGTAAATGAAAATATGTCAAACTGAATGATACTGAAAATAGGACATAGCCAAAGCTTATGATTCAACTAAAGCAGTGCTTAGAGAGAAATGTATAGCTTTGAAAGCTGACTTAAAAACACAGTAAAATCAATGATTCATAAAATTAGCAAATCAAAAAGTTCTTTAAGACTAACAAGATTAATAGCAATTATACTGATCAAGAAAAAAAGGAAAAATCACAAGTTGTCAATAATGAAAAATGAGTTATCATTCTAAATGCTGCAGTTAAAAAAAAAAACAAGAAAACACTATGAGCAACTTTACACTAAAAACTACAACTTAAATGAAAACAAAATCTTTGAAAATTATAGCAAGAATTTAAATAAACACAACTTAAATAGAACACAAATTAAAATTTCAATAAACATGAAATCAAAATAGCTCTATATTAAATAAATCAAATTGGTTACCAAAAACCTTTATATTATGAAGTTCCAGGACAGATGATCTTGCTAGTAAACACTACCAAATATTTAAGGGAGAAATGACATCAATCATACATAAACTTTCAGAAATTTGACGAGAAGGGAATACTTCCCAGCTTGTTTTCTGAGGCCAGATAACCCTAATATGAAAGCCTGACGACTACGTTATAAAAATATAAAACTACAGATGTATATCTCTCATTGCACATAAACATAAAAATTTTAATTGAACCCAGATAATACATAATGACCAAGAGGAAGTTTATCTCGAAATGCAAGGTTGATTTAATATTGTCAAATCAATCAATATAATCAGCCATTACAATAAAATAATGAAAAACACCCACCTCAATAGATACAGAATATAAATATCTTATATATACCACATTCATTCCAATTATTGTTCCCACTAGTTAACGTGTCATTTCTCAGTGGCTACTTTGCTTTCGAGCTATTTTTTTTGGTCCTTTTTCATTAGTTTGATTTTAATGTGTCTGGGTATGAGAGTTTATCTTGCCTGGGTTCACTCAACTTCTTAAATCTCTAGGTTTATGTCTTTCAACCAAATTTTAGAAGTTTTGAGCCATTATTTCAATTGTTTTCAGCCCCACATTCTTTTTGCTTGCCTATTGGACATGAGTGACATGTTTGTTAGATCTTTATTCTCCCACAGGTCACTGGGACTCAGTTTCAATTATTTTTCTTTTTTCTTGGTTGTTCAGATTGGATCTATATCTTCAAATTCACCAACTCTTTCCTCTCTTGTCTCCAATTTGCCACTGAGCCAATCCAGTGAATGCTTTATGTCAGTTATTGTATTTTTCAGTTCTAAAATTTTCATTTGGTCCTGCTTTATCTTTTCTTTGCTGAGATTTTTAATTTTCATTTGTTTCCAGAGTGTGTATTTTTGCTCAGAGTCATTTTCATTAAATAGAGGCTTTAAAATATTTGTGTGATAATTCCAAAATTTGTGTTATCTTGGTGATGGCACCTATGGATGGTCTTTTCTCAGAGTTGAGATTTATTGGTTCTTGGTATAATAAGTGATTTTGGACTGTATCCTGAACATTTGACTACTTAAGAATCTGATTCCTATTTAAATCTATTCTAGCAGCCTGTTTAAATTCAAAACATATGTCCTATTACATTAATGTAACACTGTGTGTCAGCTATACTTCAATAAAAACAGAAGTAAAATGAAATAAAGTGAAAATAAAAATAAAAATTATGGTTTAAAAAAAAAGAAGAATCAGAACACATGTCCGAGATCAGGATTGTGGACTGTGCTTCAAACATCAATTTAGTTTAAACGATTCTGCAGCGTTATTTTGGTCTGTCCACTCACATGACAAAACTCCATGCTACAGTCTGCGCAGTGCTAGCTGCAGGAGGGGCACCAACTCATTACCTCCAGGTTAAGAGTGGAAGATAAGGTTCTTCCCACTGACCCAGTTAGGGATGTATACTGTCCAGTTAACGTAGGGGTGGGGAAGAAGGAGTTAGAGCTCCATCTATAGTCTCCATAGGGGAGGGATACTATTTCCTTCCCGATGCTGCAGGGCAGGGGTAGAAATAAGAGTTCTACCCACAGGCTCCAGGGGAGACAGGCACCACTGACTACTCAGAGGCAGGGGTGATGACAGAAGCCAGACTTTTACCTAAAAACTCCAGGGAAAAGCAGGGGAGGATAAAAAATAGGTTTTTACTCCAGTGGCTCTGCTACTGCAGCGCCGCTAGGGGCTGGGAAGGGTGCAGCATTATTCATGGTGTGTGTCTTCGGAACCAGTAACAATGGTCAAAAGGTTTCTTGTTAGTTGAAGTGCCCTTTTTCCCAGTCCTCTGGCTAAAGAGAGCAGGCTTTTCTTGGAGATTTTCTTCTTGTCTGTGCTCATTAGGATTTCCAGTTTGCAGGGCACCCAGGCCAGGATATACAGAAGCAAGAAAAATCCCAAGGAACTTGCTGCCATGTAGTTCCTCAAATCCCAAGATCTCTAGTCAGGACCATCTTTTCTCCACGCTTTTAAGAGTCTTCTGGTAGTTGATTTAAATATTTTGTTCAGGAATTTCTGCTGTGATTACTGGAAGTAATAAAGTGAAATATGTTTACCTTGTTCAGAATCAGAAGTTGCAATTTGATTTAAATGCATCAAAAAATAAGATGCACTGAAGACTAGAAGGCTGGAAAGATAGCTATGTATATATCATGTATATTAAAGTATATTAAAAGTATATTAAAACATTAATGGTAGAATCTAGGTGGAAGTATATGAGTGTAATCTGTAGAATTCTTTTAATTTTGCTATATGTTTGAAAATTTCATAATAAACTGTTGCAGGGAAGAATCTTTTGGCCATATTCAAAATGCAGGTGATTAAAAAAAATCCAGAACATGCAAAAGGAAGAAAAGAATTCCTCTGCTGAGTGAAAAGAGACGTACTGGGGATTTGCTCTGATCAATAAGTTGCCAGATTAGCTGGAACGAGAGGCTGTTAGATGAGAACTGCTCTTTGTAAGAGCCCTAGCCAGCTGAATGCTACTTGTTGTTGTCTTTAACAGCTTATTCTGTCCACAGCCTGGTCCTTAGGCCTTGTCAGCCTTGCATCCCTAGGAGTAATTCCATCGGGGTTAACAAGCATAGCTCAGCTGAGCAGCTGATGTGTTTAGAGGGCAGTTAATGCTGGGAATGGACTAAATTCATTATTTGAAATGAAAATAAAGAGGGGGACATCTCTCAAAATTAAATCTTTATTTTTGAAAAAAACCTCATCAATACAGAATACATGTGGGGGTCTCATTGTGGGGAATTGGGGACAGAGTTATGCCATTGATCCCTTGAGTTAACTCTGGTTAAATTTTTTGTTTAAGCTACAAAGTGAGCACCTCCACACTATAAAAGGTCCAAGGAGTGCAAAGCCGTTAGGACACTGATTCTTTTCATTTTTTGCATGAACAAATGGAACACTTGGTGTACAGCACATAGCAGGGAAAACACACCGGCACTGGGATGGGATGGACCACGATCTGAATCGTGGCTCCATTTTCTACTAACTGATACTGGCTCAGCATCGCTGCAGCTCTCTGGATCTCAATATCCCATATGTAAAACAAAGATAATGGATGCTCATAGAAGAATTAAGTGAAATGTTGAATATAAAGTGCTCTCTTCCTATCTAGAAACTTACTCAGGCACACACTTTCTTAATTCTGAGGAGAATAAAATGAAAAGAACAAGATCTATTTCACACACTGATGAAAATTAATCAAGAACCTTGGATGAGTGAAACAGATTAACTGTCCAATGGTCTCCTATATTTTCTGTCAGGTTGGCTCAGACAACACCTGCCTCTTGGATTATACCCTGGATCTTCCGTTAGCTGGTTTATCCTGTGGCTACACTCTCCCAGGCCAAGGCAAGAGTGCTAACGAAGCAGTAAGCTCAGTGAGTCAGCAGCAGTCCTGGTAAAGTCCACAGGACTCCCCTAGGTTTTCCTCTAGAAGAGCCTATGCTCTGACATAAGCTTGATCAGAATTTTCAACAGTGCTGAAATATAAACTCCATAATATATTTTTAAGTGGCTGTCTTAAGTTTTACTTTAGAATTGTATTCCAAATGCCTGAATATGTTGTTTAGTAAAATGCCTAAGACCTTTTCTGCCTGTTACAAAGTAACAATGAATACAATGACTAATGTCTATAGTGATTCAGCATTTACCTTGTGTCTTTCATTCACACCTTTTTAAAAAATTTTTATTATTTATTTTTGAGGGAGAGAGCACAAGCCAAGGAGGGATGGAGAGAGAGAGACATGGAATCCCAACAGACTCCAGGCTCTGAGCTGTCAGCACCGAGCCTGATGCAGGGCTCGAACTCATGAACCGTGAGATCATGACCTGAGCCAAAGTTGGATGCTTAACTGACTGAGCCACCCAGGTACCTCTCATTCACATTTTTTTGATCCAGTGCCACATGTCTCTTGTAATCCAACAGTTATGCCCCCAATTTATGCAGTTGGCACCATATAAAAACCAGGCTGAAGCACCTCTCCACTACTCACAAAATCAGTCCACAACCTTTCATTCTGGCCTGCTTTATGCTCCACTTCCTAACATATTCTCATTCAAGTTGTCATCCCTATGATGACTTTCCTTGTAGGCTCATTTCACAACTGGGAATCTGTCAACTGCCTTCTTCTGTCACTCTGATTTCTGACTTCCCTCCTCAACAGTGATTAGTATTTGCCCTATTGACTATACTCCTGTAAGTCATGGTAGACAAATATTTTGCAATGCCCAACTGCTGGGTGCAGGCTCTAATGGCCGATACTTCCATATTGGTTTATACACCAATCTAAACATTTATACCCTATCTGAGCTTTCAATTCACTCATGTTTAGGGACCACAAAGGAGAATTTCCAGAGCTAATAAACATGGCAGTCAGTTTCCTCCAATTGCTCGTGCTACTAATAATTGTAGGCACTCTCCTTTACCTCTGCCTTTGGCTCAGCTGATTCATTAGAGGTATCATGTTGTTCCTTCGCTTGGGCCATCTGAGTCATCAACCTATCCATGTGGGACTGGATGTCTGCCAGTATCTCAGTCACATGAGCGGTAGCCATTGCTTCCTGGATGTCCACTAGATGAAGGGCCTTCTGTTCCTCATCAGCAATCACTTTCTGAACTTTCTTAAATTCCTGCTGTATAAACACCTTCATCTGGTCCCGGGTTACCTGCAGAACACAGACAAGTAAGACCAATGAGTTGGACACACAAAGAAATGGAACGAGAGGGCTGTTACTATAAGTTCTAGGCTGCCCTGGTCAAAATATAAACAACCATGGTTCCTATCTGATCCTGAAGTTTTGTGAATATCCTCTAAACAATGTTCCCCTAGTACAATTGATGAATTTCTTACTAATCTTTTTGCCTTTTTTAATCTTTAGGAAGTAATTCTGTATCCTTCCTTTGCTTTTCCTTTTCTTCATTTTTATACTAATAATACATGATTATTTTTTAACAATTTAATAGGTAAGTGTAAATTGTAAAAGATGAAATTCCTCTTCTCTCTCTATCTCAGTACCACTTTTCTCTCTGGAGGGTAATTACTGTTAACAGTTTGGTATTCTGGATAGCCATTTTCCTATCTAGTAATATACATATACGTATACAATTATGTTCTTTTTATATAAATGGGTCATAGAGAACATACAGTTCTGTGTCTTTTCTATTTAAAATATGTTAGTACATACAGATCAACTTCATTTATTATGTTAAATGTTTGTATGATATGGATGTATACAAATATGAATATTTACATACATAAATAAAAAGATAAACATACCCATTAAAAATTTTCCTTCTTTTATTTTTAAAAAAATTTTTTAATGTTTTTTTATTTACTTCTGAGAGTGAGAGAGACAGTGTGAGCAGGGGAGGGTCAGAGAGAGGGGGAGGTACAGAATCTGAAACAGGCTCCAGGCTTTGAGCTAGCTGTCAGCACAAAGCCTGACGCAGGGCTCAAACCCACGAACTGTGAGATCATGACGTGAGCCGAAGTCGAACAGTTAACCGACTGAGCCACCCAGGAGCCCGTAAGTATTTTCCTTCTTAGTGGAAATACAAGATATGTCCAAGTTTTTGCTATTGGAAACAACATAGTAATGAACATCCTTGGATAGATCTCTTAATATTTGCATATGAGTTTTTTAAAGAGGCTTCTGGAGTCATTGAACCAATTTATATATGCTCTAAAAATACTGACTGATACACCTAAACTGCCCTCCAAAAACAGGTGTACCAATTTCATTCCCACAACAATGTATGAAGGTAAACATTCTTTACACCTTCACCAATTATTAGATAATGTCAAGCCTTAACATTTTTATTCTCTGATGCATAAAATTATATTACAGATTTTTTTTTGCAGCAATCACCGAGCAGACCAAATAAAATACAGCTGCAGGCTATATGTGGCTAGGGCATAAGGTAAACAAAGTGAGAAACTACCAAAACAAGAACTTCTAAACTCTGTATCTGACCAGTAACTACATTTACTGATGTTTCCTAAAGACCATGTTTATTTGAGGAGTATTTTCAAACCACTACGCATGGTGAATAGCTAAGGTAGGGGACAGGGAAATGGCAGAGCAGTGGGCAGAAGAAGTAAAGACCAATAGAGAATTTTAAAGCTGAAAGAGAAAGCAGTTGTCACCCAGGGGACAACTTTCTTTTACAGATAAGGAAACAGCAGCTGCAGGGGACTTGTAAAAGATGCAGGGGACACCAATCGTCCTGTTCCCAGTGGTGCTCTGTTCACTATAATAGTCTCTGGGAAGGAGAGTCAAACTGGGAAAACTTAAAGAGGAGACTGAGGAAGAGAGAATCTAAAGAGGGGAAGATGGGGCCATTTTTATTTAGCTCTGAAAAACTGAAAGAGCCCTGGTACTTTAAGCAGCTTCCGTAACACTGCCATAAGAACACCAATGCAAAGTAAGGCCTGTATGTTGACAGTATCCATATCCTTTCACACACTGAGTGACTAAGTGACATAAGCCCTCAGGAATCCATTATACTCTCTACAGGCACTCTTTCCCGTGCTAAAGAAAAGGGGTGGGGGAGTGTTAAATGTTATTAATGTCTCTGCAAATTCTGTATCAGATTGAGAACTGTGATTTGTGTTTATTTATATAACTTCTTTTTATTTTTAGTGTGTTTATTTCAAGGCTGTTCTACTTTATGATGATCTCCTATGAATGAATCTCTAACCTTGAAATAAATCACGTCTTTTAAGACCTAAGACCTTCTCTTGGAGACTAAACCTAGGAAATTTTAGCTAAGAGAGAAACTTTTCTGAGTGCCTGAGAAAATCGCTTAACAGCTTCAAGTGACTAAAAACGAGAACACAATAAAAACAGACTCACAACTGATTTTATTAGCCCTCACACATACATGTGAATCAGGTCAGAAGCTGATTGTGGTTAGACTGCAGCAGGTGACTAAATCATGGGTTTAAAAAAATCAAATTCTCGATTTCCCATCGCTTTACATAGGTTTTCCAATCTTTATTTTGTATAGATCATCCACAAATAAGAATTGAAGGCAGATTAACCTCCTCCATAAAACCTTTATCCTTTTCATTCCAGTTCTCTACTAATCAACAAACCAGATTTCTGGGCCACAGCATCCATTCAAATTCAGAGGCCAAAGGAGGGACTCCCTGGGGGACCTGGCTCGTGATAGATGGAATACTCAGGAGAAAGGACTCCTACCAATAGCAGGAGTGAACCAACTTTCAAAGCTCCTTTTCAAGTTTTATTACATCTTCTTGCCATCAAAACTCCACTCTGCTACAAGCTACCCAGTTCTCCAAGAGCAGCACACTCCTCCTGTCAGCACCTCTACTGACGTAATTTCTGAGTGGGTCTCTTGGAACCTTTTCAGCCTCTACCCTATAGCTCCCCAAAGGTGAGAATGGTAGTCTTATACTCCTGACTGTATTATACAGTGTTAGTAAAAAAGAACAACTCTACATATGCAGAAAAGAGAAGGGTGGGTGTATCCCAGAACAGTGAAATTGGCAATGTAAAAGGTTCCTTTTTTTAAATGGATCTAGTAGTAATTGTTAAACTTTTTGAAAACCACAGAATTTCCCTTACCCCAAACAAAATCTTAATGTAGAACCCTAAAATATAACAGAACCAAAAACAGGACTACTATGGTTAAAAGAAAAACTTCCTCCTCCTCGAAGTAATTCCCAGGGCACCGGTAGTGGTCTCCAGCAAAATTCCCCTGAGGTACCTGGGTCCTCTACACAAATGAAACCCTAAAAGGAGTTTGCTTTCTTTGGTCAACTGGCCCCTAAGCTGTTAAAACTTAAAAGCCATAGGTTACAAGCAAGTCGCTATATCTTTGCTATGGGTGCATTGGGGTGAGAAACTAGGTTACTATTTAAACACAGCATTTTACTAAAATTACTTAAACACAGCATTGTAATTTGAAAGTTGTGATGGCTTATTTGTAAATAGTTGTAACATGTGAAGATCTGATCTAATTAGAGCAGAGTCCAACCTCCTCATTTTATAGGTAAAACACACACACACACACACACACACAGGAGTGCAGTAATAAAGTCAAGTTTAGGGATCAATTTCCTTCGGTCCACCTCAGTATATTTTGTGGTACAACATTATTGCCTGTAATGATCCCTTTCTGCCTGATTCACATTCTTTAAACTTACTTCTTCCTAATTGAGATGTTTCCTTGGTTAACAGGCAGCTCTGATATTATCCCCACTGAGATGTTATCCCGTTATCCACCCCCCGACTCCCCGCCCTGCCCATGTGAATCTTGGAATTAAGGATGCACATCTGAAGAGTTAAGTTTCATCTCATGGTACATCTATATGCTCTCATAGTTAATATTTCCAAGCTAGGCTGTACCCAAGAGGCACACAGACTGGCACTTTACACATACATAATTAAACACATAAAACCTTGAATTAAGAACTTGTACTTAAAAACAACACCATTCAGTATGCTTGACATGGGATGCAAGCCATTAACTCCTAGCTAGCTGGCTTGTAGGAAACCAAGGTTTTATTTATTTTTCTATTATAGGCAGATTATATAAAAAAAGGAAAAAGCAAACTAGCTAGAAAGCATCACAGCTTAAGAAAGACTTGTTCCAGAAAAGTGCTGCTGACATGAACTGAGAAGGATGGAACAGGGTCAGGAGCAGGAAGCTACACAAAAGAAAAGTATCGGAGTCTATACTAATTGAAGAGTCAGAAATACTTGTTCACTGAGACACATTTCCTGCAAATAAGTTTAAAGGGTCTACTCCAAAAATGACCTTATAAAGTGTGAACTGTATGAAATAGTTTGTGAAGACTCTAAATACCTCCCCCAAAAGGTCAAGAAGTCCACTTTTTCTCCCCCTTTCCTTTTCTGAATGACTACAGTTCTAAAATAGAAAATTAAAGAAGCACAAAATGGAATTTTTTCAGATGCTGCAAGCTGCCCTCACTCCCACCAGCACACTGTCCTTCCCTGCGTGCCAGTGTCCATGGAAACTTTCGTGGTGGGAATCTCCAAGTTCAGGATTCTGGATAGCCTCTAGTATTTGGTCTGGCAGTCTGCTCCAAGAGAGCACTGTCCAAATCTCCACCGGGCTCCAGTGAGGGCCGGTGAGGGAAGAGCTTCATCAACAAGGAGGATAAAGTCCTTTTACAGTGTCTTTTGTGTATGAGAAGAATAGCCACTATCTGTGAATAAAACCAGTACCCATTCCTAAGGCTTGGGAAATTATCCAGCAGCCTAGAAACACAGCAGACACCAACCATGAACTACCTTCCATTACTCACGTTCTGAGTGAGGTCAAATATTTTTCTGACAACCTGGTTAGAAGACTGAATTGATTGGATATTACAATGGGGCACTGAGAAGGGTACAGAAAAGGTAATTAAAGTGAATATTTAATCTCTTCCTTAAACCATTTTTCTCATCTTTATCAGAAGACTCCAGACAAAAGCAGTCATGTATACCTTTACTTTCTTTCATTACCCAATTGTGTAAATACAGCACCATGGGTTCTCAACCTCAGGTATCAGTTACTTCAAGTATCCACTCAATGAAATAATAATGATATTTACTGTTGCTGTTATTAGTATTTCTATTACAAAAGACTGTAAGAAATACACCAAAATGTTGGGAGTGGTGACCTCAGAGCGATG